GGCCGTGTTACCTCCCCGCGCCGGGGGCCCACCTCCTCCTCGGCCGGGGCCCGGGCGGCAGGGGCCGGGGCCGCCGCAGGGACTGGGGCGGGGGCTGTGGGGGCCACAGGGACCGGGGCAGAAGCCTCCTCCTGGGCCAACCTGCAGATCAAGTGAGGCCAAGCAGAACAGGTTATGGGAGGCCGGACGGCGTCACCACTGGGCCCACGACCCAGGTCGACCGGGGGTTCCCGCTGCTCTGTGTCCGTTTCTCCCTCTCATGTAAGAAATAACCAGCTCACGGAGTCTCTGGTTCTCAGAGATGAAGGGTCAGGGGTGCCCAGGCTGGGCCCGGCCTCACCTCGCAGCCTCCTTCTCCGCCTCCTGCCACTGTTTGCGCCTCCGGGCCTCCTCGGCCCGCCGCTGCTGCCGCTCCAGCAGGCTGGCCCTCTTCTGGGCCATCTCGTCCTCAGGCTTGTCTTCGTCCTGGGGACAGACGCTCAGTCCAGCTGGCCGCCCCTCCCCTGCTAGGCTGGAGTCTGATCACACGTTAACCCAGCCTGCCAGCAGCTCCTGTCCTTTTGTTTGAGAGATTTTTTTCTACAGGGTGCATGCGCTTGCCAGAGAGACAGAGATAGAGAGAGAAGTCACCCCCCAGGGGGGATGGCCACGCCACAATCCCTTCTCCATTCTCCTCTCAGGATTTTGGGCATGCACATCCACGCACCTGGCATGAGTTTTAAGCTGCCAGGTGCCGAACTCGAACTGCAGTCCAGCAACGTAACAATTATGCCATCTGCTGGTTCCTGTCCTTTTGTCTTTGACACTGTTCTAAAGGCACTTGTTGGTGCCCACTTTATGGGCAGCCCCATGCTGAGTGCTGGGGCATACCAGCGACGGGGTAGGCCTGGGTGGTGCTCATAGCCTTCTGCCCAATGGAGAAGACAAATGAAACCGCAGACGTTTGAACGCCTGGAGAGGCGTGCACTGGGCAGTCTACCCTGCGTGGAGGGACCATCCTAGTCTGCCCAGGGGCACTGAGCGAGGCTCCCTGGGGGGAGCACCCCTGGAGAATGATAAGGACTTTACTGGGTAGGGTCAGGGGTGAGTGCATTGTTCCGGGCAGAGGAACAGCAGGTGCAAAGGTCCTGTGGCCAGAACAAACCTAGCAGGGCATGGAACCACAGGGAAGCACTGGTTCAGAGCTGGGGACGGTGGCATAGGGTGAGGTCAGAAGTAAAGAGAGCCGGCACCACCAGGGGGCGTGCTGGTTAAGGCGCTGGGCACTCCCACACGGACCATCATGGTTCAAGTCGCTCTCTCTCAACAAATTAAAATAAATGAATGAATAAAATTAAAATTTTTTTAAAAAAAGAAGAGCCCAGAGACATGAAGAGGAAGAACTTTTCTTCTAAGAGCAAAATCAAAATTCCTAAGGGCTGGGGTTGGCAAATGTGGTAGTTGGGGTGCTGGACTTCCTGTGGTTGGCCAACTGTGGTTCAAGTCCCAGATCTGATGGCTTACTTTCTCACTTTCCCTTTCTCAATCTTTCTGTCTCCTCTGGTCAATTTTTTTTCCCAAAAAAATAATTTATTTATTTTTATTGTGATGATTATTCTTTAAATTGACAAGAGAAAGAGAGAGAGGGAAAGTGAGAAAGCAAGCCATCAGGTCCGGGACTTGAACTGTGGTCGGCCATGTGGGAGTCTAGCACCTCAACCACCATGCCACCTGCTGGCCTCCTCTCTGTCACATTTTAAAAATAATAAATAAAGGGGCCAGCAAGTGACGTGGAGGTTAAGGGTGTTGGACTCCCACAGGGCCGACCATGGTTTGAGTCCCAGACCTGGTAGCTAGCTTGAAGCTTGCTTTCTCACTTTTCCTTCCTCTCACTGGGTCCTCTAGTTAAATGAAAATAAATAAATACATAAATAAAGTTAAATAAATAATCCTTTTAAAAAATAATTAATAAAATTAAATGAAAAAGAAAATTTAATTCCTGAGGCCAGGGGCCAGCAGGTGGCATGGTAGTTGAGGGTGCTGGACTCTCACATGGTCAACCACAGTTTGAGTCCCAGACCTGGCGGCTTGCTTTCTTACTTTCTCTCTCTCTCTCTGTCCCTCTCTGGACAAAATTTTAAAAAATAAAGTTCAATTCAAAACAATTTCCTGACGGGTCAACACAAAATGGCCAGTGTTCAGGGGGACATAGGAAAGACCAGCCAGAGGAGACTGGGTGTCCAGGTGAGACCAGTTGGTGGCTCAGGCTGCAGGTCCCACAATGATGTAGAATGATCAGGCACGGGGCAGGGTCGGGAAGGGGGACCAGTACAACCACGCTGGGGCAGGGGTGGCGGGTGGAGGAGATGGCATGGAAGACCCCAGCCCCGTTTGCCCACCCATCTGGCCCTGTCATCTGTCCATCACCGACTCGCCCACCATCTGCCCGCTCCTGTCTGACCAACCACTGTGCACCTGTCCACCCTTCCTCTGTCCATCCACCCACCTCACCTATCTGTCCATCTGGTCACCCCAGTTGTCTCTCTGCCTATCCGGCTGTCCACCACCTCCATCCTCCCACCCACCCATCTGGCCACCTGGCGTCCACTCCTCCATCAACAACGCCCTGTCTACCCAAGAACCACGGGCCCCTCTCCACCCCAGGAAGCCTCATCTGCTGACCCACGTCCATCCACTCCAGCTACCGCCCCCTCCCCACCTGTGCTGGCCGCTCACCTTATAGAAGAACCCGAGGCCAGCCCGAGGCTCTCCCTCGGACGACGCCTCCTCCTCTAAGGAGTCCTCAGCCCCGGGGGGGCTCCCGTCTCCCTCCTCCTCGGCCGCGGGGGCTTCCAGGCTGCCCAGCGGGATCTCAATGAGGGCCGGCCGCGCCGCAGGCTCCTCGGGAGGTGTCCCCTCCGCCAGGAGGATGGAGGAGCGCGTCTGCACCGGCACCTGGCTCGGGGAGAACTTGCGCAGGTGGGGGAGGCTGTCCACGTCGTGCGGGGGCGTGAGCACCCTGGTCAGAGGCGCCAGCCGCAGCTCCGCCGGCCGCGCATGTTTGGGGCTTCGGGGTGTAGGGCTGGGGCCAGGCCCAGGGCTGCGCCGGGCAGCTGGGGCGCGCCGGGCAGGGCTGGGGGATGCAGCTTTGGGCCCCGTGGGGCCGGGGATGACCCACGCTGCGGGTGGAGGGGCAGGCCCTGGAGCCTCGGGCGGGGCCAGGAGCCGCTGTTGCTGGTCCGTGAGCCTCTGCATGTCCCGCTGCAGGGAGCTCAAGGCGGCGCTGAGCTTGGTGACCGCTCGGTTATAGTCTCCCAGCCCCTCGGGGGGCAGCAGGCCCAGCTCCGGGGAGAAGGTCACCGACTTGGGTCGGGAGGAAGGCTCGCCCTGGCCCTCGCCTGCAGGCCGCTCCCCACCAGGAGCCGGGCCCTGCTCCTGCTCCGCCTCGGCCTCGGCCTCGGCCTCCGCCGCCTCCCCGGCAACCTCCCCGGCAGCCTCCCGCGGCTGCACCTGTAAGAAGGCACTCTTGCCCAGTCGCTGGCGGTGCTTGGCAAAGATGGCCTCGATCCGCCGCTTCTGAGCCTCGATGGCCCGGCGCTTCTCCTCCAGACGGGCTCCGAGCTCGCTCATCTCTGAGCTCAGGGCCTCGGGCGCGGAGGGAGCAGACGTGGGGGACCCAGCTCCGGACTCGGCCTCGGCCTTCACCAGCTGCTTCTTGCGTTCCGCGAAGCTGGTCATTTTCACTTCGGAGTTGGTGGCCACCGGAGACGATGTCACCGCCTTCGGGGACCCCTCGGATGGGGCTGGTGCTTTCGATATCTCCCCCAGCGGGCAGGGAGAAGGTTTGGAGGGGGCCTCTGGGTGGGGCACGTAGGCGGGTGGTTTCAAGGCTCCCTCGGATGGGTAGGAGGAGGACAGCGGTGGTTTCGAGGGCCCCTCGGGGGAGTGGAGGTAGAAGCTGCCGTCGGCGGCCCCGTCGGGGAGCAGGCGGGGCTCTGCGCTGTGGATGATCTGCAAGGCCTCTTCAATAGTGGGCAGGTCTCCGGGCTCCGGGGCTGGCTGGGTGGGGGTGCGGGCC